AGCAACGTGCTGTGTCCATCACCACCCAGTCTATAACAACTTGCTGTGTATCCATCACCACCCCAGTCTATAGCAACTTGCTGTGTTCATCACCACCCAGTCTATAGCAACTTGCTGTGTGCATCACCACCCAGTCTATAGCAACTTGCTGTGTATCCATCACCACCCCAGTCTATAGCAACTTGCTGTGTATCCATCACCACCCAGTCTATAGCAACTTGCTGTGTCCATCACCACCCAGTCTATAGCAACTTGCTGTGTCCATCACCACCCCAGTCTATAGCAACTTGCTGTGTATCCATCACCACCCAGTCTATAGCAACTTGCTGTGTCCATCACCACCCCAGTCTATAGCAACTTGCTGTGTATCCATCACCACCCAGTCTATAGCAACTTGCTGTGTCCATCACGACCCAGTCTATAACAACTTGCTGTGTATCCATCACCACCCAGTCTATAGCAACTTGCTGTGTCCATCACCACCCAGTCTATAACAACTTGCTGTGTATCCATCACCACCCAGTCTATAGCAACTTGCTGTGTCCATCACCACCCAGTCTATAGCAACTTGCTGTGTCCATCACCACCCAGTCTATAGCAACTTGCTGTGTCCATCACCACCCCAGTCTATAGCAACTTGCTGTGTCCATCACCACCCATTCTATAGCAACTTGCTGTGTCCATCACCACCCCAGTCTATAGCAACTTGCTGTGTATCCATCACCACCCAGTCTATAGCAATGTGCTGTGTTCATCACCACCCAGTCTATAGCAACGTGCTGTGTCCATCACCACCCAGTCTATAGCAACTTGCTGTGTCCATCACCACCCCAGTCTATAGCAACTTGCTGTGTCCATCACCACCCAGTCTATAGCAACTTGCTGTGTCCATCACCACCCCAGTCTATAGCAACTTGCTGTGTATCCATCACCACCCAGTCTATAGCAACTTGCTGTGTCCATCACGACCCAGTCTATAACAACTTGCTGTGTATCCATCACCACCCAGTCTATAGCAACTTGCTGTGTCCATCACCACCCAGTCTATAGCAACTTGCTGTGTCCATCACCACCCCGGTCTATAGCAACTTGCTGTGTATCCATCACCACCCAGTCTATAGCAACTTGCTGTGTCCATCACCACCCCAGTCTATAGCAACTTGCTGTGTATCCATCACCACCCAGTCTATAGCAACTTGCTGTGTCCATCACGACCCAGTCTATAACAACTTGCTGTGTATCCATCACCACCCAGTCTATAGAAACTTGCTGTGTCCATCACCACCCAGTCTATAGCAACTTGCTGTGTTCATCACCACCCAGTCTATAGCAACTTGCTGTGTCCAGCACTATCCACAGGCTTCACAGCGTTTGGGATCGGGTGCATTCCAGATGATTTGTTCAGCAAGTCTGCGTTTTCGCGGTTGCACGACCCGATTAGCGCGTTTGGCAATATTCGTTCATATAGATGTGTGACAATGTGTGACGAGGGTGGGGGGGGTGAGAAATGTGACGTCACATCAAAATGCGCAACTTTAAATCAATATAGACGACACGTTCTACTTAATCAAATATACTTTTTAATAAATGTTTTCTCTTACAACACATCAGAGTACAGCACAACATTAAATACGCACTACAATGACAATAGTTTGAAGCGATTTTTAAGCATGTTTTATTTTGGGGGGGGGGGGGGGGGGGCAGAGCTTTGTGACGTCATATTTGAGGGGGGGTCTGACTTTTTGTGACGCCGTGTGACGAGGGGGGGGGGGGGGTCAAAAATCGCGTGACGTCATTTATGGACGGGCCCTTGTAGTGTGATTACTCAACTCACAAAAAACCCGGCACACTTTAATATCTCGGGAAGACTCAGAGATGTTCGTAACAGGGGAGAGGGGAAATAAGGGGACGGGGGGGGGGGACAACCCCATTGGCTAAATGAGCAATTTTACAACGTGGCTTTTTAAATCCTTTACATTAAGTTCACTTGCTTGCTTGCTTGCGCGCTTACGACCGTGCAAATCTTTCGGGCGTTTTTTAACCCACTTCCCGTGATCCAATCGAGCTGACGTTTTGCACACAGACTCGTTGTGCGTGACAATTTATTTTCGTGAATTTTTTTCTCTCCAAAATTTGACACTTTTTTGGAACAAATAAATTATATTTAATTACCAATTGCTTAATGGTAGCAGGCAATCATCTGACCCATAGGTGGCAGCCATCTCAAGCCAGAGGACGAGAGGACTCTAGCCGCCACGCATATGAAGGATTTATAGTGAAAAACTTTGTTTTTACGGGTTAATTTTTTAAATGTCCTCCTCGTGCGGCAATTAAAGTGAAAGCGTTGTGCCCTGCCTGGCCTGCGCTGTTGAAGCATGATGTCGCCACCTCGTGTACCAGCACGTGCAATAGCACCGGCTGGCGGTGGCGGATAACGTTCACAATTCAACTTTTAGACATCATTAACTTTCAGACTTAATTATACGTCAAATTTCGATTTAAAGCTTTCGTGACTGCAGGGATTCATCTTCTTGGTTCTTTCGGTAAAGTCACGTAGAAGGGAAGTAATATTTTTATTATACGTCAAATGTTTATACAAATTAAGGGTCCTTGCAGCCGACAGGACTTTAAAAATCGGTATTTTTACACGGGCGATTGCGCAACGCAGCATTGGAGTTGTCAGCAGGATGATGTTGGGAGGATGTTCCTTTAACACGCAGGACCAATATCATCCTAACCCGGCTTAAATATACGCTGCCAAGCTTGGTGGTGTTCATTCAGACGCTGTCTTTCCGACAGACCTGTTCTTCTTGCGTTGTGGCCGAAACGTGAGAATTGTATTTTATGTTTTATTTTTATTATTTTATTATTTCCCTTCTACGTGACTTTACCAAAAGAACCAAGAAGAAGAATACAGGTTTTGTTTGTGTTGGATCGCGTAAATATATAAATGTGTCGTTAAACCCGCCACCACCCGACAGAGCCAATGAATAAGGTTGTCACGTAAACAGAACGTGCCAATTCGTTACTAGTACAACACACCGATCTGAGTACTCTTAGATTGTAATTTGTGCTCTGATTGTAAATGTTGTGGCTTTGCTCTCCAACACTCACAATCTCCAACGCACAAGCGGTGTGCTCAACAAGTAACGAATTGGCACGTTCTGTTTACGTGACAGACCTTACTCATTGGCTGTGTCGGGTGGTGGCGGGTTTAACGGCACAATTATATATTTACGCGATCTAACCCCCCCAAAAAACCTGTACAATATTATGGAGGATGTTGTCAGCAGGTTGATGTTTAGTGATCCACCGTCACGCGGAAAATAAAGTCGCGGTGTGCCAATGGGCCATGTTCAGCAACGCCGATGATGAACGTGTGGGGAGCGGTGGCGCAGTGGTTAGCGCACTGCGCTACGAACCCGGCGACATGCCTGTCAATCCATTATCAGTGCCTACCCTATTACAGACCAATTCAGACCTTATTGGTCACGCCGTGCCCTTATAAATCTCAACGTTCATCCTACAAAGTCCCATCACAATGGAGAAAAAGACAAAAAAAATTGCCCGTATTGAAACGGCAGTACGCCATATGAACCTGAAAACTCAATTTCCCTGTACAGGAATACGGGGTAAACCGTATGGGTTGACACGGTATGCGGTGATCCGAGTTCGATTTCCGCTCGCGGCCAATAACAGCGACGATTATTTGAACCTGCTCTGGACCTCCCCGAGGTTGACTCAGCCTCAAATGAGTACCTGGCGCGGTAAGCATCAAAACTCGGGGAGACAAAGGCGGCCGGGGTGGGGGGGGTGTTGGCCTCCCATCCCCTTGTGTGGCGTGTCTGCCTTCATAGGTGGTTGCTAAAAGCATTTGCCTCACACAGCCTGTTAAAGGCGATACGGGGTATCGTTGTCTTCGTGTAATGAACATTTATAAACAATATTATATTTGCCCAATTGTGAGTGACTGACATGTATTGTAATGATGACCTCGAAGGGCTCTATCGCTGACAGATGGAACAAATACAACTTAGTATATGCGCATGAGAAAAGTCAAAACGCTGGATTTACACAATCGTGTCACGTATTTAAACGCTGTCGTTTTTGGAGAAACGCGTACAACATTGTGGATGTGAATGTTGCGAAAGGTGCCCAATCCAGATATGAGCTCACGTTTATTTTGGTTCTTCTGTGCAAGTGTGACACTAAAGCTGATAAAGAGCAGGCAGACTCCACCGCCAGCCAAGAGGACTGTGCAGAGCACGTGGCTTTCTTATGACGTAGCCACCGCCATTCACGCTGGCGTTGTTTTGTGAGAGTCATATTCTTAGGTTTTTTCGGTAGTCACGTAGGTAAAAAATTAAAATTAATAAAAGTAAAATAAAATCACGTTTCGGAGGCAACACAAGCTTCCGTCTTCAGGTGGAACCGTCACAGCACGACAGCTGTATCAAGTACTTGATACAGCAATCTTGCTGTGATGGTTCCACCTGAAGACGGAAGCTTGTGTTGCCTCCGAAACGTCGTGATTTTTATTTTATTTTACTTTTATTAATTGACATTTTTTACCTACGTGACTTTACCGAAAAAACCTAAGAATATGAATCCTTGCAGTCACGAAAGCTTCAAACTTGTGAGAGTCGTCTGTTTTTCTGTAACGCGGTTGTTGTGGCGTTCCGAAGTACACCGCGTGATGGAAAAATCGCGTTATAATAAATCATGTGTAATATAGGGTAGAGCACGGTCCGCGATAACACTTGAGATGCGTTACGTAGGCTGAACAATGACCGAGGTGCGTGTGTAACGTCTAGAAGGATCCAGCAGCATCCCGCTGCCTCGTGCGAGGCTACGCCGAGGCAGCGGTACAACCGCTTGTTCCTACTCGCGCGTTATATCCAATTGGCGTTATGAAAACACGAGTCATGGGAGAATATTGTACCGTGCGTAGCTTTCAGTTCTCAAGGAGGCCACTCAAATCATCAGAGACACCAAGCCACCTTGGTCACAACAGATTCTTGTGGTCATTTATTTTGTGTGTGTATACATTCTACCTTGAAATGACGCGTGCACTCCATCGTTCAATTCTACAACACTCAGACAAACGAACAACTAATTACACCAGCGTGTAATAAATAGGGTATTGCAGCTACTTTACAGACATCATCACACCCAGTTATAATGTAAGCGAAGGTAAATACAATTTGAAGGTAAATGTTTTTTTCCACGTGAAAATGTCACCGTACTCCTGGAGAGTGGCGTCGCAGTGATTAGTGTGCACTGCGCTATGAACCGGGCGACCTGAGTTTCCTTCCCAGCCACGGCTCACATCAGTGGCGAGTTGCCATCTGCACCCCATCTCCGTCCCTTTCAATAAACCCGCACGGTCCAGCATGGTGAAGTATGGTCAAATAGCCCCCCCCCCGCCCCCCACCATGATCCAAAACGGTACGGGGAGGGCCTTCATCCGACACTGGATTGACACAGGGCAGAAGATTATTATTATTACTACGTAACATCACTTAGCTTGTAATTGTATGCATCATTGGAATTTATGAGTACTTTTGATCACAGCACTGGCTGTCCACCCTCCTTATAGTTTTCAAGGCGGGACGTGGTCCCACGACTGCAGGCTTCAAAGAGACTCATAATTGGTCTTTCCACTTTTCGGGGTGTTAAACTCCCACCAGGCGTCTCGTTTTCTGTCGTTGCAGTAGTAGTGTGTTTGCTGACAGGAGGATTACTAACACACGTTAATACTCTGCAACTTAGTCCGTCGTAAACTTTGTGCCAGCTCAAAAAAGCACGAACGAAAAATAAAGAGATTCATCTCAAATACGTTTAAAAAAAAAACAATACAAAAAGTAAATAATAATGCTACCGATGGTGATCTGATACACTTGTAATCATGCGTAGCCTCTAGTAGCGGGAACATTTTATTTGTGAAAGCCTAGGTTGAGAAGTGAGCTTACAGGTGTTTGGTCCATTCTTACACGCAGCTTCCACAGGGAAAAAATAACTGGATGAAAATTCTCCCACTGAGAGAGTGAAGGAAAATCTTCACGAACCTTCCTCCATGGTGGGTGCTTTATAAGCGCTGTGATAAAATCCAATACAGTACAACCTTGGATTGCGAGTTATCTTGGTCTGCGAGTGTTCTGCAAGACGAGCAATTTTTTTTATGAATATTAATTTGATAAACGAGCGAGGTCTTGCAATACGAGTAGTACGTATACGCTTTGTCTGCCGAGCGTCACGTGACCACAACTGATATACGAGTGCTTTGATATACGAGTGCTTTGGATTACAAACAAGTTTCCAATGTTTTACTGTATTTAGTTTGCTGGGTATCGAATACTTGCGGTAGAATAGTCACAGGTCGGCAATCACCTTACTGCACAAAAACCTCAATATCGAATTAAAATTTGCACCTTATCTGGCTGAATTCCACCTGTAGGAATCAATATCGGTTTGATTGTCATGCGGCGAACAATCTCATCGCAGAGCTTGTGGGTGTAGAGGATAAACAGGCCACTTGAAGGATTCTTGTCTGGAAAATCGCATCTGCAGCCACTGTCTGACAGAGCGGACACACTGCTCTGTGAGATTTAGGAATGAATTCTATCTCATGACTTGATACCCACAGCACAACTTGAATAAGTTGGTAAACAAAATAAAAAAAGTGCAATTGCGGCCTTCACATTAAATCCACTCCAATTGAGTTGGAAATAGTATTTGGCTGCTATACATTTCTACACGATAAGCCACTTCGTTGAACGATCATTTGTGGCCAGGTCGCTTCTGAAAAAGAGCTATGAAGCTCAGTGGGCCTTACCTGGTAAAATAAAAAAAAATTCAGTGAAAGTTAAGTTTAAAGAGTGGGAGAAACGTAATTTACACACACGGTACCGGTTTCATCACCCCTGCCACAAAGTGGCACGAAGCGCGGAGGGCCTGGATGGGCCTTCTTGTGTTTCTCTGTCCCTCTGTCCAACTGCCAATGCTGATAACCAGACTGAGGTCAAAGCTCAAGCAGTTTTGGCGAGGGCCGAGTGTGCCTGTGGAGATACATCGCTGCCGGTGAAGCTCTTACCTCAAGGTTTGTGGACATCCTGTGAGATAATCCAGGCGATGAGCTTCACAGTTTTGCAATGTGCCCCTGTATTTGCGCTGGGTTTAATTTTGATTGTCATTTGATTTTGTTTTGGGAATCCGGTTTTTAAGGGAAACAGTCTTTGGTGTGCAAACTAAACAACGACGTTTCAAGTCTCGATTAATTGTCTTGCCGTGTAATACTGAAATTATAATGCTACTTAACACACACACATCGAAATGATCAGCCATTGCCTATCCACTGCTAAATGAAAGCATCCTCAAGCTTCCACCACCTCTCGTAGTCCTGCGACGCGGCAATGGGTCTCCTGCACACGAGGTGATCGTATCGCTCCACCTCGATTGTTGACGTTCTTTTGGCTGCGACCTCAATCACGAGTCCTCACCGCTGCCAATCGCCACCCTTCCAGCGACGCGCCCCTCCTTTGGACACTTTTTAAACTTTCGTTTAATTTTCTTTGTCAATGTCCAAGTTACTCTCGCTATGCCACAGCGGCTAACGCGCCACTGATTCAAAACGTTCTTCTATTAGCTCGTTGCTGTGCCTCTTTTCACAATTAACGTCCGTTTTTCGGAAACATTCCAATCAGCCGAGTTTTATTCCGACCTGCACTCTCGTATACTTAAGAGGATATATACCTAGGGTAGATATGGGAAGGGAACTAGGATTAACAATTTTAGCATAGTTGGTTATGTACGGTGCGAAAGAAGTTTAACATACACACAGGACAGGTTAGAGGGCTTAAAACACTAATGGTAAACATTAGCCTTGTTCAGTGTTTAAAGAATATGAATAGAGTATCTAGCACTTTGGAAACAAATAATGACTAAAATAAGCTAAATTTGCCGTCTTTAGGAATACATAGATGCAGTTTTAAAATTAAAATACTTAGAGGCCACTACTGGCAATTTTTGTTTTACAACTAAGGAAAAGGAATAAATGTAAGGAAATTATGGAGGCCTTGGATCAGCAGTGCAAAGTTAATGGTTGGCAACTGATGTTGTTTACGTGCATAAAATATACAAAACATACAAAAAATTTTTAGATTCTCCTCATAAAAGAAGAAACAATTGCAACAAACATCTAACTCCCGTGTACCTTTGCGTGAAAAATTTTCCCCACGTCTCGGTCACTGCCCATCTGCCGGTCTCGCATCGCGCATCGCGCCAACCTGCGCCCGAGACTCATCCACGGCCCTGGCTGCCGCCGGTGTCGTCGCCCGTCTGGCCGTCCTCCCCGTTCGGCGAGGAGCGGCTCACGTCCGCGATTCCCGACTCCTGGTCGCTGTTCTGCGCCGACCAGTCCGACTCGGCGTCATGCACGCTGGAGCTGTCGTCGGCCTTGCCGTTCCCGCTCTTGCCCCCTTCGCTGGCGGCCGAGAGCCAAGTGCCGCCGCCGCCGCCACCGGCGCCGGGCGCCTGCCACTCGGGAGCCACCATGAGGCGGGTGAGTTCGGCGGCTGCTTTGCGGTTTTTAGCGCCGATTGGGCTGGGCGAACGCTGCTTCGGTAGCGTGCCTCCCAGTCCTGTGAAGGTCTGTTCGCGAAGATAAGGAGCGGGAAACCATCATCACGTGAACTCCGGTCATCCTCGCAGCCGCAGTGGTGGCTTTTGGCTGGCCGTCGAACAAAGACGGGTCACCGTGTCACGCGCTTTCAGATGCGCTTCTGTGGCCGCCTGGAACGCTCTTCCTCCCGAGCTTAGGAAGTCACTGGAGCTATGCACTTTTAAATAATCTAGATTGAAATCTAATTTCTTTAGGACTGCTTTTTCTGTTTAGTTTATTGTCCTTCCCCAACACCTCCGATTAGCACGGTTGGCTACGTACGGTGCGAAAGAAGAATACAGTAAAACCTTGGATTGCGAGCATAATTCGTTCCGGAAACGTGTTTGTAATTCAAAGCACTCGTATATGAGTTGTGATCACGTGACGCTCAGCAGACAAAGCGTATACACGTACTACTCGTATTGCAAGACCTCGCTTGTTTATCAAATTAATATTTATTTAAAAATTTTGCTCGTCTTGCAAAACACTCGCAGACCAAGTTACTCGCAATCCAACGTTTTACTGCATACTAGTTTTCAGGCTGAACTAATATAAATCTAGTTTTCTTAATGTATTTAGAAAAAAGTAACGTATAAACAGTTCTCTGTGGTACTAGAAGAGTTTCACAAGGTTTCTGCTAGACAATAACAGAAACATTGTCTTTGTCCAGTGTATCTTTTGACAGATGCATCGCTACCCCTGGGCTACGTGCACTGTACAGCTCACTGCTGGAAGAGGCTCTCCCAACTCCACGTGCCTCACGGCGGATTTTTGACCATACTTCACCACGCTGGTCAGTGGGGGAGTCGGTGAACGTGGGGAAGGATAGATGTGGGCGGGAGCAGAGGGGAAGATAACAACAGTGGATTTTGCTGCCCACCAGTTGACCCCTCACCTTTCATGTGCTGGCTATCATGTTGTTTGTATTGTTTGTTGTTTTTGTGAATTTCTGACCCACCCCTATTGGACATCTGTGAAAAAATTCTTCACAGCTCATCGCATTTCTCCAAGGATAAAGAAAGATGCTGATTCCGATGAATCAACAGTTCAAAACGTGGGCTGCAAAAAAGCAAAGTGTTGAGCTCGTACCTTCTCCATCTCTGTAACTTCGCCTTGAAGTATTTGCGTTTTCTGCTGCAGCTTCGACACAGCTTCAGTGACCTGCGGCCGTGAATACGACGCCCCATCCTGAGCATCGAACATCCCTCGCCAGAACCTGCGCAGTTGCAGCCGGAGATTTTGACAACAGTCACACGGTGGCATTGCGTGGTAGTCATGGGCCCTGGTTCAAGGAACGATAGAGGAACCCCTGTCAAATGTCCCTCCCTCTTCATAGCCCAGTTAAACTAAAACTAAGCTATTTTTATTTGATCAGGTAAGGCCCCATGTGCTGTGTAGCTCTTTTTCATGAGCGGCCTGGTCATCGCAAATGATAGCTCAACGAAGTGACTTATCATGTGTACGTTTAGAGCAGCCAAAGATTCTGAACGCATGTTGATTTTAAATGTGGAGGGAAAAACCGGAGGACCCGGAAAAAAATCCAAGCGGCCACGGGGAGAGAGACATGAAAAATATACAGGCGTCAGGGTCGGGATTTAACGCACGACCTCCTGTATACCAAGTGAGGTAGTAAACATCTCACCAGAGAGGCACCTCAGTTCCTGGGGTCTCTACAGACCGTTAGCACTGGTGCAGTTCCACGGCCTGCGAACCGTGTGACGTCACTTAAAGTTAGTTTCTTAACGACTGTGTCATGCTCCCCTATGCATACCCACCCCACGTTAAACAGGGTCATGCTACAGGGTTGGGGTTGTGGCAATGCTGCGTGTGCCATGAGTTTCAATGCGCACAGGCAAAATCCAATGGCAGTTCCCGTAGAAGTGTATTTAAGGCCTCGACACAGAGGCGTGGTTTCTCTGTGTGCCTATGTATGTCTCTCTATATGTATCTCTGTGATATCTGTCTCTGCTTATATGTCTGTCTATATGTCTCTGGTTCTGTGTTTTATCTCTCACTCAAATTTAGCATTCTCAGGAAAAACGTAATCAACCAGGTAGGGTGTTGACTGTTATGTTATCCGACTCTCTGTTGTATTACATTACATTTCTATTTCATTTATACCTGATGATGATTGCTTGTGTTGCAATCGAAACGTCGTATGCTGGTATTTAATTTATTATTTTATTTTTATACGTGACTTTACCGAAAAAAACAAAGAGTGAGTGCATTGTGGTCCTATTATTGTGCAATCCTCATCATTTACATCTCTGTTGTCGGCAGCCAATGTGTCCACGGGGAGGGGAAGGGGCGGGGGGGGGGGGAACATAGCGTCTGATCCCCAGGTAAATGAATAAGAGTTGTGTTCTTCTGTTCAGAATATTACACTGGTGTGGGCAGATTTGTCAAACCTGAAGCACTGTGGAGCCAGGTTGGGCTTGAGCACTCCGCGGTTCTGCCTGTGATCGGCGCGGTACAGCGGGTTGTAGAACTCTTCCCGTTTGTCCCACAGAAAAGCCCAGAGCGAATATGTTTTCTCCTTCACCCTAGAGCGGTCGCGACACAATGTAACATCGCACGCATCGTCTGCTGTGCAATCAAGAGCATTGTTTCAGTGAAATGGTTTTAAACAAAAACATGTCCGCCTTCACCGAAATCCTGACTAGGATGAACGTGCATTGACCATAATTTGGGTGATATTTGACTCAACCTGTGTTTTTATGTTCACTTTTCACGTGTTCTGACGCATGGTACACTTCCAAAAATAAACACGGCACGGCGTTACAGATCGTAAGCGTCCCTTAGTGACAGAGTTCATTGTTGGGAAATTATTTCAAACGCACTCATGATGTTGCGGCACCTCAAATTATACTGCTGCACGGGAGTAAAGGAATGAATAATGATGATGATGATAATCTTGAGTATCTAATTGCTAAACTTGTTTGTGGGAATTGTTCTTCAGCTTACCGTTGAACTCAATCTAATAATAATAATAATATTCGGAGCGTTAAACGTTTGTACGCGCAACGATTTCATTCGTTCGGCTGCATTGGTTGGCGACGGGCCTTTCGACGACACCTTCGTCCGGATCGTTACGCGTGACCTAACCCCTCAATGTAATTCGTGAATCAATTATTTCCACCACTCGTCAGACGTACCACAGTGCCCCTTCCCTACCGCGTGCGTTTGCTGACCCCCGCGCCCACAGCCCTCCGAATGAAGATCCTGACGATTACGCCGCCCCTCACCTGAGCTGGGCGCGCTCGCGCTCGCAGTTGCCCAGGAAGTTTCCGAACTGGCAGGACTGCGCGTGGGCGTGCACGCTGGTGAGCAGCCGCTCCGAGAACTCGAAAGCGCAGGGGAACTGCAGCGAGAGCTGCCACACGCATTCCAGGAGCTGCAGGAAGACCGGAGAAACCTCCCTGGCGTCCCCCTCGACGAAGCCGCACCTTGGCACGGAGCAGACGCAACGCAGCGGGTGCTTAAATGTGACACGCTGTGAAAACGTGACGACACTCGACTGCAACTATTACTACTGCTGTTGTGGTGCTAGCTGGATATAAGCACACATACTTGTAAGCAAAGTTCTGATGTGAAAAAATGGATCCTTACATTACACTGGTGGGGGGATAGCCACTGGAGCGATGCACTTTTAAATCTAGACTGAAACTCATTTCCTTAGAACTCCGTCTTGTGTTAAGTTTGGTGTCCTTCCCCCACACCTCCAATTAGCACGGTGGGCTACGTACGGTGCAATGGAAGTTCAACACACGTGCATACAAGGCAAAGGGTAACTTCTCATACAAGCACAAACGTATATAAGCACACAATGACTTGCTCCCTTTGGGGGTGCCTATATATATTCAGGGTGCTTAAGAAAATGCTAACACTTATATGGGATTATCGTTTTTAATGGAAAAATAATAATACACTGTAACACCATTGGAACCTCCTTTGCCAGTAGCAAAATATGATAATTGTTTTTTTACCCTTTTATCTGGCAACAAAACTGACACCTTTTTTACTGACAAATGAGGTTCCAATGGTGTAAATGCTTACCCCGAGCTCTCATACTCTGATGGTGCATTGTCTTTGAATTGTGCGCCTTTTGGCATCATCTGGTCCAACACCATGTGAGACTAGGCTCTAAGAAAAGCTGTCTCGGGTGTGAACCAATCAATTTCAAGGACAGTGTATACATTATCAGAGTTGTGTTTTTTGTTTGCATTCCGACCGCAGGTATTGTGGTCAATGCAAACATGACTTCTTGTAAAAAAAGGTGTCAGTTTTGTTGCCAGATAAAGGGTAAAAAAACAATTATTATAATACACTGTAACATGATAACAAATGTATGTTAACGGCTTCAAAAAGTCAAAGAGTCTCCACTTGCTCGCCATCATTGTCAACGCGTGCCAGTAATCTTCTCCAGGTGGCATCGACCCGCGTAACTTGTAAGTGACATGCCGTTGTTTAGTTTTACAGAATTTTCTGGGGCATCGCGTGATCAAAGCGGCCTTCCTTATTCCCATCGCGTTCGTTCGAATTTTTCCGCACAGTAAGTTTCCTCCTGTCGGCACCTCCAAGAGCAGCATAGAGCTTATTTTGTACACACTGTTAATTTGAACACATCAATGCAGTGCTTGTGAAGGTCATATCCCAGCATAAAAGCTGAACACATTCAATTGGCCCTTGATTACGAGACGTTATTTCTAAACTGAAACATGGTCGTTCAGACTCTCCGCAAATAAATATTCTCGCCGCATTTATAGTTACGTTGGCTGCAGAACTGAATGCATACTGTTGGCATTAACACTGGTGAATGTGCTGCATTTGTTTTAGAAATGCCATTGTGTATGGCTCAGTACTCCTAATCGCCACTGTTCTCAAATTTAAGCCCACAGAAAAGTGGCACTACGTCTCGCCAAAGATATTCGCTGCAATCACATTCCATTTCGTCCAAATGTACTTCCTTCCCCTGCATTCAAATCCAGGCAGCCACCTGTAATTAAATCAGGGTCTCAAGTGAAGTGAGTTGACGGTCCGAGTCCAGTCACCGATGACTTTAATTGTATTATGCACTTAATTTAGGTAAATTCCAGTCTGTCACGCTATGAACATTACTCTCAGTGGCAAAGTGAGTGATTTCTGTGGGCCAGAGATCACTGAAAAGAATTTCAGAAATAGCTCTGTGATATACGCTTCTGTGGGTCATTCTCTGAAATGAATTTTTGCACTGCTCTGTGGGAGATGCGGATTAATTCTTGAGTCTCGTGGCAAGACTTTAACAGCCCAATTGAGAAACGATGGGGCAATGGGGGAGGGGGGTGTGGACACAAAAAAGGATAGAAAAACGCTGCGTGTCTTGAATACCTCTCAAGTAAAACGAACAAATCCTTTGGTGAGATCTAGCGATTGAGGGCATGTGCACCGTCCCTGCCTGGGCCAGCAGGAACTCCACGTGGGAAATGGAATGAAGGTCAGCAGTACGGAGATGAAACAACCCAGCCATAGACCTTTTGCAGAATCTGTGATAGTTTATGATTCATCCCGTGCTGTCGGCGACTGGCTTTTATTTACCTATTCTAAGGTTTTTTCGGTAAAGTCACGTAGGTAAAAAATTTAAATGACTAAAAGTATTTTATTTTATTTTCATTTTACTTTAATTAATTTTAAATTTTTACCTACGTGACTTTACCGAAAAAACCTAAGAATATGAATCCTTGCAGTCACAAAAGCTTCAAATCTTTTATTTACCTCTGGCTGAATTTGTGTCCGAAAGAAATCCACTCCTTTTCAATGAGGACCTGTGCGAGCAGAAGCAAATCACAAGACGCACAGTGAGATAAGCTTTGCTCTCACACTGGCACACGCGGTGCCGACTCATTGTTACTCCAAAAGGATCCTGATAAACACACGCGCACAAAACCCCCCAAACATCCCTGCATAAAGCCTTAATGGACTGTAGGAGCAAGTGCTGTTAGTGAGCTCCTATGAAGACGCGGGGGTGGGTGGCCAGCACCATGCCCGGCCGCATTTGTCTCCCAAGTGGCAATATTTACACACCAGGTACTCATTTGAGGCTCAGTCGACCTAGAGGAGGCCCAGGATAATCATCACTGGTGTTGGCCCGTGAGCGGAATTGAACTCGGGTTATCATCACAGATGTGACGTCACCGCTCACTTGCCGTGAAAAATATATCCATTATTGCGCCCCGCCACCCCAAAATACAAAAGTATATTTTTATACTTTTTGCATTGTGTACAGTCTGGAAGCTACCCACATGCCAAATTTCAAGTTCGTTGCATGTTGGGAAGTATGCTAAACATTTAGAATAGACACACATATTCACGCATTTCCCTTTTATATATATAGATAATTTCTGAGTACATCAATGGCCATTCACACCGGCGTGCATTTACTAGCTCGCCTAGCATACAGGAGGTCGTGGGTTCGATCCCGACCCTGATGACGCCTGTATATTTGGAGTTTGCGTGTTCTCCACCGTGGTCGTGTGGATTTTTCTCCGGGTCCTCCGGATTCTCCCTCCACATTTAGAATCAACGTCATGCATTTAGAGTATTTGGCTGCTGTAAATTTGCACATGATGAGCCACTTCGTCCAGCTATTATTTGTGGCCAGGTCACTTCTCAAAAAGAGCTATATTGCTCAGTGGGCCTTGCCTGGAAAAATAAAAACAAATTGTCAGTTATAGTTAAGAAATGCCTTCGAACTCTTCGAAGGACGGGGACGTGACCGCGTGGCTCACCAGAAACCCGCGCAGGGTGCGGTAGTAGGGGTCCAGGAGGATCCCAGCGACGGAGCAAACTTGGGCAGTGCGGTCCCAGCCATCGGAGCAGTGGACCAGCACGCTCACGCCCTTGTCGCACACCGCCTGTCAGGGCCAACCGGGGGCAAAGGTCACCGACAAGGTGCGTCAACCCGTGAAGGTCCGCATGGAATGTGTCGCTCCGCACTGATGTTCACAAAACGGCCCATGTTTGTGTCGATCTGCTGCCGGGGTCATGGGGGGCGATTTGACCACGCTTCAGCACTCCTGTTGGGTCAGTGAAGGCGGGCAGCATAGACGTGGGAGCAAACAGTACAGTTCAACAATAGATTTTTCTGGGTTGCCTTGTGCTCCGGAAGTAACGCGGTCACGTCTAAAATCCTCGTAGACTTGACGCCCGTTGTTAAATGGTTCAGTTTCCACCGCTAACTAATTGTTAATATCTACCAAGCAGCACGGCGGTTAAGGCCTGTGTTTCCCCATGCCATCATTAGCATCTCCCAGTGGTGTGAATTTCTATGTTTACCAATATTCTCCATTTGCATATAAATTAGGTACTCGTATATTGCAATCATCTGTTATTAAATATGTAAATCTCGACCATAGGGAGGTATGGGGCTCGCGTTGGAGAACTGCCGCTCCAGGCAATTTGTATCCCGACTTCTGAGTGTGTTAAGTCAAGGTCAAAACTGTAAATTCGCCCAGAAGTAAGATGCTCACGAAAACTAACAAGGGTCAGACAGAATAATAAAATTAAGATGTTCGTAATAATTTCACGAGACGTAGATTTTTTCACGAGCAAAGTTACGATTCGTAGTACGTTTATTTTGGGTTGGGTCGTGTAGGCAGGCCGTCAGTTAGATCTATAACCCTCTAGCACCAAACCAATTAAGCTGTCACGAGGGAAAATGTGCCAGTTGCCTTCGTTCAAAATATTTCTCGCATTTCAACACGGCCCGTTTTTTTTGCTAACAAAAAATTAAATTAGTGACAACTTTAATTGTTTATCTGTGTCCGGTTGTTGGAGGGTTATAGGTTTAATTGATGCAAATACACGATGTACCACAAAATAAACCAATTAATCTCACTCCCCTATCACTCTCACTTCCCTATCACTCTCACTCCCCTATCACTCCCCTATCACTCCCTTATCACTCCCCCTAACACTCTCACTCCCCCATCACTCCCACTCCCCCATCACTCTCACTCCCCTATCACTCCCCCATCACTCCCACTCCCCCATCACTCTCACTCCCCCATCACTCCCACTCCCCCATCACTCTCACTCCCCTATCACTCCCCCATCACTCCCCTATCACTCCCCTATCACTCCCCCTAACACTCTTACTCCCCCATCACTCTCACTCCCCCATCACTCTCACTCCTCCATCACTCTCACTCCCCCATCACTCTCACTCCCCTATCACTCCCCCTGTCACTCCCCCTAACACTCTCACTCCCCTATCACTCTCACTCCCCTATCACTACCCAAACTCCTTACCCTGTCCCACTCGTTCTCCTGTCACCATAACTACACCACCACTTCTCATAACAACCCCACTCTTTATCTCAAACACTATCATCTTACACACAATTTCTATAACTGCGTGCAAACCGCCTTGGAACAAGGCGCTTCGATATACATCTCTATAAGACTGATGGAGTGGAGGAGGAGGCAAGAGAATGCAAAGGAATGACATGGAAACATCGGCAATAGATGGCATCACGACTGCTGCTGGAAGTTCACAGACGCAGCACCGTCCATAAGAAGGGTGCTGGATGGGGGGTGGTTGAGTTTTTGTCGAGTGATAGAATTCAGTTTGATACAACAACAAAATTGTTGCCGCGAAACTACCATGTATTCGTGGCGACGTGTAAGGCTTGCGCGGAGTGTCTCTTACGCTGGCGACCGCTGTGGAGGCCTGCAAGATGGACTGGACGTGCCGGAGCCAGCCCGATGCCTCTAGTCCCGACACAAACTCACGCTGGCTCAGCCCCCGAGCCTGGCTCACTGGGGTGATTCAACAGAGACACGACAGCACGGAGACACCCGGACCACCACGCGATGAGAGGGAAGTCAAGTGTTGTGCAGCGATCCGCCGGCATTTGCTCCGTGCAGGCTCCACATTGCATCTAGGAAGTGACAGCTGGAGACACGGGTGAGCCGACGCATTACGAGTGCACCGCTCTGCCGATGCAGCCGTAGCGAAGTTAGAACAATGAGCGAGAGTTTATAATTTGCGCAGTATAAAATGGGTTCATCACGTAATAAAGGGTTTTTTGGGTTAGATCGCGTAAGTATGCGTCGTTAACCCGCCACCGCTCGACACGGCCGATCAGAAAAGGTTTGTCCCGTAAACAAAACGTGCCAGTTAGTTACTACTTCAGCCCACAAGTGTGTTGGACAGTAAATCCACAACATTTACAATTTGAGTGAGATGTTTCGCTGGTAATTACATCCAGCATCATCGGGAGATTTTGCCACAATTGTGAAGAGATCTAGCTGCTTCTGGTCTTGAATAGAGCAAGATGACATCAGCCATTCAGGTGCGGAGAACGGAGCGGGATTTATTGTAATTATATGACAATATATTATGCTAATCTGTAACAGATGGGTTCAATCGCAGTTCATCAGTATGTTCATCGCTGTTAAGTCTACCGGCAGGTCGTGAGTGGTGGGTACTCTCAGCTCTTGCGAGACGTTTGGCCAGCGTGCAAGAGGTAAGACAAATATCCGCGCTCCTAAGCTCCGTCCAGAAATTGCAGGGCTGCGCCTTTGCCCATACCGCGTGCACCACTCATCGTGCCGGTTTGAAATGGTTCCAAGAATGCCCTTAGGGTCGGTCATAAGCATCATTATTATTCGGCGTGTGACGTCTGCACAAATGTACAGCGGACACGTAAGAACATAATCGCGCGCGCGTGTTTTTGTTACGTTGAGTCTATACTGCGGCTCTGTGTCGATGTTGTAGTCCGCGTACCGTCCAGTAGCTTGGCGAGGCTGCTGCGCATCACGTGGATGTTCTCGATGCCGAGGAATTCAAAGCGAATGTTGGCGTAGTTCTCTTCGTTTTCGTAGCCTCTCCCCGCCGCGCGGTTTGCCATTGCATTCAACTGCAACAAAACAAGCAGCAGTAGCAGCAGCAGCACAGCATGGATGGGGGGATAATTAAGCTATTGCTATTTGCATTGGCTAGAGGCAGCTTGCCTAAAGCAGCTTGCCAACGCGGTGGTAAATGTTTAACAAGCCTGACTGCTGATCGGACCATCAACATTGAAACCAGTCCAGAGTTTGCTTGTTGGCCAGGCAATATATTGGTGATTTAAAGCTTTCGTGACTGCAGGGATTCATCTTCTTGATTATTTTGGTTAAGTCACGTAGAAGGGAAAGAAAACATGATACAATTTTACATAATAAAATAATGTTTTATTTTTATTATTTTATGATTTCCCTTCTACGTGACTTTACCGAAAGAACCAAGAAGATGAATATATTGGCGTGTTATGCCTTTGGATATATGTGGTGAAGTGAACGGGGGGCCACGATGGCGAGATGTTAACTATCTCGCCTGGTATACAGAAGGTCATGGGTTTGATCCCGACCCTGACGCCTGCTGTATATTTGGAGTTTAAATGTTCTCTCCGTAGTCGTGTGGATTTTTCTACGGATCCTCCGGTTTTTCCCTCGTCATTTAGAATTGACAGGCATTTCGAGTATTTGGCTGCTATACATTCCCACGTGACAAGCCACTTCGTTGGGCTACTATTTGTGGCCAGATCGCTTCTAAAAAAAGAGCGACAAAGCCCAGTCGGCCTTACCTGCTATATCTTTTTTTTAAAGGGCAACTTTCGATACGAGTACATCTTGCATTGCAGACCCGTGACAGATGCCTCATTCAGTCGCCCTGTTCAAGAGCTCTCTCTCTCTACACCTCACCTTAGGCCGGGTGTCGACGACGTACAGCGTCTCATGCCCCGGTCCCGGATTCGCCCGCCACACAGCTTGCAGGAGCTGCTCGTCCTCAGCGCAGCGGGCGCTGAAGCCCGAGAGCGGCTGGCTGCATCGGCAGATCGCCGCCTGGGACGGGGCGACGGGCGCGCGGTGCCAGAAGCCGGCGTTAATCACCTCTAAATTATTCACCGCTGGTGGAGCCAAGCTGCCCCCGCTGTTGATCGGGACGTGACGGCGGCTCGAGCGTTTTGAATGAGGCGAAGAGAGGCGGCGGACACGGAATGCGCCAGATTTTATTCAAGATCTCGGAGCCTGGGGCAATCCTTGGATGGGGCCGCCGCCATGCGTCGCGGGTGTTGTAGACCACGGGGGCTACGTGGGCAGCAGCGGAGGGCAGTGCGGAAGCATCCATTGTGGTGCTGGACTTACTCCCGTGTCTGTGCTCCCTGCAATTACTGCCCCGCACTGACCAATGTGGTGAAGTATGGTTAAATAACCCCCACGACCCAGGAGTAGATTGGCAAATGGGCCGTACGTGTACGTACATCTCGCCAGCGTGGGCACCACCAACACGGGACCCCCTTTAGTCCCTTGCCAGTATCAAAATATAAGAATCGGTTTTTACCCTTTTTGACAATAAAACAGGTGTCAAGATGTTGAAACACCTAACAGAGACCTTTCGCAAGGGATCATGTCTGCATTAACCACATATAGTTGTGGTGAACATGCAAACACAGGTACATGTGGTTAATGCCCCATATCTCACGGCCCGCAAGACATGGGAAGAACTTCATCCAGCAGTGGATTGAGAACTGCGGTGCGGGGCGGCGTGGGTGCGTGCGTGCGTGCACCAGCCTCTCACCCCGTTGTGCGCGTGAAGGTAGGACAGGGTCGGGAAGCGGGCCTTGCTGCGGAAGCCAGCGCTGCCCAGGACGATGTCGGTGGAGACGCACGGCACGAACAGGTCCGCAGGGTACGTCCCGCACACCTGCCCGACACAAACGTTCCCGCTGCGCTACGAAAGGCATCTGGCACGGCACAAACTCTAGCGTGTACGCGACCGGGTGGGGGTCACGGCGTTATATAAACGTGTTGTCGAGGAGATTGGACCTCTGCTGCAGTGGAGTGCAGGCCGCCGGAGAGTAAACGAACAAAAATGGCACCAGCTCTTTGCATCAATAATAAATGAATGAACACACTCAGATTTGCTTGCGGTCCGAGTGGTGAGTTGTTGTGCATTCTCAATTAGGGTCCTATGTTGTCGTGCAATCTCTGTCAGCGACAATAATGCAATGCAAGTCTGCTTGACCGTAGCTACAAGCCCGTGTCAGCCATCACAGTACCATGCTCATCTTTACTTGTGAACCGCACACTGATTTTTATCGGATGTATGAGCAACAGACGATAATACTGGAAAACAAATGTAAGGTTGGTACAGTCTGTTCTCCTATAACGCCACGTGTTGTCATAATGCAATTTGGATATAACGCGGTGAACGTATGAGGGAACACAATTTTTGTTATAACGCAGATGCGAATTGGATATGACGCGATTGAGTGAATAGAGCTACGTCGCGCGAGTAGGAATAAGCGGTCGCATGGCCGGCTCGGCGTAGCAGCGTCACGCAAGGCGGGATGCTGCTGGATGCTTCTCGATGCTACCCACGCGCCTCAGTCTTAGTTCAGCCTGCAAGCACATCTCACACGTTGTCGCGGACTGTGGCTTACCCCACGTTAATTATTATAACGCGACTTTTCTAAAACGCGGTGTTCTTCGGAAACGCAACTACTACCGCGCCGTAGGTGAATAAGACTGTAATCCAGTTCATTTAAGACGACCTCGTAGTTTGCGTTGATGTCCGTGAGCTTCCAGTGCTTGTTGGGTACACCCATTCTCCGGAACTCGGAGCGTAGGTCCAGCAAGGTCCATCCTTCCTCGCGATCGGTGGCTCTCACCCGAGGGCTGTACGAGAAGGCGAACAGGTCCCGGTGGTGGGCTGTACCAGCGCACACACATGCCAGCATCGACGTCACGGTCGCCGCCTTTAACAGCTGTCACCTTGACTCCGTCATTCGTGACTCTCAGCTCAACGCTCACGCCGTCAGCGGCTCAGTGCCACGCTTTCAGGATTACCCTTGTGTTAAGGATTACCTTTGTGTTAAGGATTACCGTTAAGGATTACCGGTTGTGGTCAGCGCGGAAAAAATCCACCGTTGCATTTGACTACGCTGCCACGTCTACGCTCCCCACCCTCACCAATCCGCCCCGATCAGCACAGCCAAGCACCAGCGGGGGGGAGCTCGAGTGACCTCCACGGTCCACACGATGGGTGGAGGAGAGCCCTCGTGCAGCAGCGGATTGAAACAAGCGAGCCATACATGGACACGTACAAGTGGCCACCGGTGAACACGGCAGTGCGGGCTGATGAAGGTGGGAAAAGGGTGCCAAGACCGGCTGAGATATCAATCGGCGCAAATATTAGTCGTGTGTATGTTGAATTTCTTTCGCACCATATGGAGCAACCGTGTCAATCGGAAGTGCAGCCGTCGCGGGGAATCAAACTCCGGTCACCCATCTTCATAGCGCAGTGTGTGAACCACCGTGGCTCTGATTTACCCCCAAAACTGGAGAGTTTATACGGACAAAGCATTTATTTTCCCACGGAAGACCTCGCAACAAATTATAGAGGCCTCGCGGTTAGGTCGTTTGGTGATGCTGTGCGATTCGCCATTTCGTGTCGCGGTGCCGTGCAGCGTTCACACCGGGACGGCAGAGCTTGACAAGAGACAGCTGCACGTCCTGGCAGTCCTGCTCGCACTGGAACTTCAGGTGCAGTGAGCGGAAGGTCTTGGTGTGCAGGAGAAGCAGTGGGCCGCCAGCGCCGGCCGGTGGTAGCTTCTCAAGCGATGCCAAAAGGCTGTGTGCCAGCTTGAGTTGCCACAAATCCACAGGGCACCAGTGAGTTAGACAGGAGAACACACTCAGCGATGCAGTGCCAAACTGCACACGATGGCATTCTGTCAATAAGCATTCCCACTGGATGAACTTTTAACAAATGAGAGTATGCATAGTGAACAATGCCGTACTGACAGAATAGTTTCATGAGACATTTGTTATGGCTGTAAAAATGTAAATCATGATTCTAAATAATTGATTTAACACTGAAAAGTGTTATTATAACTAAATCACATGTGCACTGTGCAATAATCTGCGTATTATTCTGCAAAACCCATGACAAAATTGTTGTGAAACATCTAAATTACATTTCGATTTAAAGCTTTGGTGACTGCAGGGATTCATCTTCTTAGTTATTTCGGTAAAGTCACGTAGAATAGAAATAATAATAGAAATAATACAAATAAAACATAATAAAAAAATTCTCACGACGTTTCGGCCACAACGCAAGCAGCCATCCTCAGGTGGCGAACAGGTCTGTCGAGAAGACAGAGTCTGAGTGAGAATTATTTTATTTTATTATGTTTTATTTGTATTATTTTTATTATTTTATTATTTCCACTCTACGTGACTTTACCGAAAGAACCAAGAAGATCTAAATTACATTCTGTTTGTTGGTATTCCCATGCGCCACGCGCCACCAAAGTGTCACACAGCAGCCTGCGCACATACCCAAGTTTCCCTATGGTCTGCTCGCTGCAGGCTTGGCTTCTTTGCGAAGATGAGATGGGTGGCGGTCATGTAGAGTGTACCCATGATGGGCTTTGCTCCCCCACTGCCTAAGAGCTGCACATCCTCCACCTGCCGACACACAAAACGGTTATTGTGGCAGACATCGATTATCACCATTTCTGATCACTTTTCTTCATTGCTGTACTTTGCTTTGGTAATTTTTTATCACCTTGGTGACCCAGGTTACTCTTGCAAATTGGATTACATCCCGGTCTGTTGATTATCACCTGGTTAAAGAAATATAAACTTGAAACTACATTTAGAGCTCACGCTCGCCTAGGATTTCTTGGAATTCCTGTATCAGCCTGGGCTGAAATAGTCATATAAGGTCCAATTACTTAATTCAGTTTTGTCCTATATTTGATTTGGACAAGTGAGGAACCCATGGTGGTCTCGTGTTTATAACTGAGTTGAATCTCACTCCCTTACTTGGCATCGGGTTCAGTGTGAGAACGTAGCCTCTCGTTTCTTTTTCAGAAGTCAACGGTGGCAGTTTTGACCAAACATTTACAAACATTTTTTTTACAAACCCCTTCTACCTGGAAACAGAACAATCGTCCGTAAAACCACGTGTTTCATCTGCAGATACAAAGTCTTCAGCAGCGGATGGTCATCAGTGGTGGCGCTAGCCCATTGGTGGGTCCTTCGCATCAATGACTGTCAAGGCCATCCCCTTTCAATTCATAAAATCCTAGCAAAGATGAGAGAAGAACGATAGACGAGTGAGATATCGTGAAAAAAAGAGATATGTAGAAAAAACAGACAAATAGGAACATAATTGTTATTTTACCCTTTTATCTGGCAACAAAACTGACACCTTTTTTTTACAAGGAGTCATGTTTGCATTGACCACAATACCTGCGGTCGGAATGCAAACAAAAACACAACTCTGATAATGTATGCACTGTCCTTGAAATTGATTGGTCCACACCCGAGACAGCTTTTCTTAGAGCCTAGTCTCACATGGTGTTGGACCAGATGACGCCAAAAGGCGGAGTTTTGTTGCCAGATAAAAGGGTAAAAAAACAATTATCATATTTTGCTACTGGCAAAGGAGGTTCCAAGTAGTAAGATAACAGAGAGACATACACGTCTCAGATGAAAGAGATTCATTGGATTTTAAAGGTTATTTAGTGGATCACGTTTATTAGGATTTGAATTTGAGCTGACAATTGATCAACCTCTATATTTTCATGAATCTGGGGCCTCTTGAGCCTCTTCGGAGGCTTTGCTTTTGCCTGGCACTGCCACCCGTACTCGTGACTGTGCGGCATGTGATGATGGGCAAGGTCGAGCAGCATGTTAAACACCTGAAGGGCAAGTGAAACACATTATACGACAGGAGGTACAAGGTCTTGTTGTGACAGTTTTGAAAAGACGACGAGTATAGTTTAGAATGATATTAAGGCTGATCTTAATGAACAATGACAGGCAATCTTTGGTTTTATACCAAAGGGAGTAACTCAGTGAAATGAAATACATCAAGCAAAAATAAGTTATCATTTTATTATGTATAAAGGTTTAGAAACATAATTCAACGTCGCATTAGTTTTAACTATTCACCAGTGGTGTTTAAACTACAAAAACGCAGGTGCAGTGTAAACAAATATTTAGGAGTGTGTAATCTGTACACCTCAAGCAATCCCGTCCCGAATTAAAACTCCTGCAGCATACCGTAGTGTAATTATTCCCAAGTGGCAAGCATGGGAGTGCTCCAGAATAATTTGTCAAAAAAAAATGTGATTATGCAGTCACATTCGCATAGATGCTGTTGACGATAGCACCGTCACGTTCCGTGAAATACGGCAACGTCTTCGGGGAGGTCATCTACGTTGATCGTGATCAGTACCGCTCGACTGTAACTTAATTTCAACAAGCCGGGCGAGCCAAATTAGACACTGTCAAAGTGTCACTGTCAGGTAGCACTCTTTGGGAGATTTCTTCTTTCGACCTGAATGATGAATATATTCTCATGCAGTTTACAGTTATTCTGCTTCAGACACACACTGATGGCAGTCCGTGAACCCTACCTAGTCTGGGCTCGAGTGACTTGTTAAAAAGTGAAGCCTCAAGACATGTGTTATAATCTCATATAATTTTATGCATTGACACATTAGCTGGCAGACCAGAAGTACCGTTCGTCAGCAAGGAGGGTCAAAACCTACGTTTAAAGTCAAGCAGTGTCAAGTTGAGCAGTCCATTCACGAGTAACAATTTTAAATCAGACCAGCGCTAAGTTTCTATTCTTGCGTACAAGTACAATAAGTTCAGGAGCTAAATGACAATGTAAGGGGAGAGTTTGTTTCGTTTTTGCTACTCCTAAACCACGTGGATGTGACGAGCACGCACCGCACGTCAATCCCAACTCCAAGTTTTGTATAAACGCACTCCGGTTGTATGTATTTCTGCAGTACACGCTGCATTTGCAATTACGCATACGTCCGCCGTGATGTCAACTCCGCAGCATATTAAGCAGAAATCACGTAACGAATCGCCTGCGGATCGCTTGGTTGGGAAAACATTTTTTTGCGTTAACGCCACGAGAGTTTGGGCTCTGCCGCCTGCACTGCAGACGTTCTCAAGTACAACTTTTGGTCGCGACGCGATGAACAAGAGATCATCTGTGAGCTACCAATCTCGGCGTGTCACCACGGTGCCGGAAGTCAAATTCAGAGGGCACCAAACGGCAGCTGTCCCAGGTGCTGAACGGCGGTCACCCACATTGAGCACAAATGACGAATTATTGTTTCATGGTCTAAAATGATTGATTTGGCATCATACGCCTCTAATGAAAGTTGTGCATAGAAACAAACACGACGCGTGCGATGATACAAAATAAATCTGGTGGAACACGCAGGATTGTTGTACTATTGTTGTACAGTCCGCGTGATGCCACGCGTCTCCATGATAGCTGATGTCTGGTGAGGATTATTCCTCTTCAACATTGGTGCGTTGTTACTCATTCTCACCACGTCCATACGTGTCGAGTATACATAACATAAACGTTGCTGTTCTGCGGATTAGCGGGGTGGCAGTGTTGATGGTTAAGCCATCATTCTATTGCACGGCAGCCGTCAAAATATTAATATTTATAGCTGCTCACAACATTAAATATCAACGGGAGCTCTCGTAAGCTATTGAGGAAAAAAAATAAAGACAGGATATACGATAATCGCAAGAAACCAGCGGCACGTTGCTTATAAGTTACAATAACCGAATTCGCCTTTCGTCCAAAAAAAAAAATCGGCCTTCAAAATGTCAGGGAAGGAAGCTTTGCTCAACAGCGCCAGAGGAAAAGAGAGGTAACTGAAGCCAAGCGAGGACGAGTAATATAATGAAACAAACACCACGGCACTGTATGGAGGATGTGGCATCGCCTACCCCGCCATCACCACACTCCCACGTATCGGTCGGGGGGCGAATCTCACCTTGGGGGTCCTGATGTGCTCCATGATTGCCCGGCTGTGTCCCCTTCACTAAACTGCAAAGGGGGCAATTAAACCCCCGGGGGGCGTGGGGGTGGGGCCCTTACGGGAACCTTAGCGGCGGGGGCAGGGGGGGGACGATGCGTGTGCGAGCTGGGGTCTTCCGAACGGCGAGATGGGGTCCAGTGCTCGCCACTTCCCCTACAGGCGCAATTGGGCACTTGCATTGACAAAGATCTTGTACCCCGCTCCTCCCCCTGTACAAAGCCTTCAACTGGCAGTGGTTATTCTCCAATCTTGAGCTGACACGGTGGTTATTGTCAACCTTTAACTGAAACAGTGGGGTTTCTCGACCTTTAACTGACACAGTGGTTATGTGGAGGCCAGCACCCCCCCGCCCGGCCGCCTTTGTCTCCCCATTGCGTATGTTTATACACACGGCAACGGGCATGTGCTCATATGAGGCTGAGTTGACCTCAGCGGGGGGCCCAGGACCGGTTCAGGTTTTGGGTCACTGATGTTAGCCGTGAGCGGGAATCGAAATTGGGTGGCTGGGTTCAGAACTCAGTGCGTGCACCACTATAACGACTCTTCCCCATTGGCAAAGACAACACACACAACAACAATTAAAGCTGTCTGCGTCATGTGAAACATGTGCGCACACACACACACCCACACTGAGACAGCGTTAATTGTTTTTTCGCGTGACGTGGTACGTATTTAACAATCAACCGGCGCGTGCAGCGTGGAACACATTAATTTGTATTTGAATGTCGAGTAAATTGGTAAACGGGGAAAGAGTGTAAACGATAAACCAAGCAATTGTTTATTTAACAAGGTAAGGCCCACTGAGCTATATAGCTCTTTTTCAGGAACGACCTCGCCACAAGTTATAGTCCAACGAAGTGGCTTATCACGTGGACGTCTATAGCAGCCAAATACTTTGAACGCATGTTTCTAAACGTGGAGGGAAAAACCGGAGGACCCGGAGAAAAATCCACGCGACCACGTTTGAGAACACGCAAACTCCAAATATACAGGCGTCAGGGTCGGGATCGAACCCACGATTTCTTGTGTATATTCGGTAGATAACATCTCGCCATCACGGCGTAGAAGCAACGTCTGCTCAAAGACTCCTGGCAAATTGTTTCAGCTGCATAAAAGTGGATGCACAAAAAGGGGACATACTACTGTGTGAAGAACAACACGTGAAAAGCGCAATTTCCGAGGAATGATTCAGCAAGAGTAAGTTCTGCATTGAATACGTTCAGGAAATGGGCTCTTGGCTGCTCTGCTTCTATGTGTAGCATGTAAACACATTATGATTTTTTTCGTAGTTACGTTTATGCCTTTATTTTTCCAGTCAAATGTTTGCGTGAATAGCTTTGGTGATAATTAAGGATCTTCTTGCCTGCCTCTTTGCCGGATTTGTATTTTGCCACTATATTCATGCAATCTCAATGTAGTGGTTCCTTATTTTAAAGTGGTTTTGATATTCTTTTTAGTTTTTTAAGACCATGGGTTGTGATGTGGAAGTTCGGATGACTGCTTCACTTTCTACTGAATAAAATGCATTTGCATAATCAATAAAATCCATGCACAAATGGTATTTGGTACACAATTGTCTTCAACAGGGTCTGGTAGTATTGTATTTTTTCCATGGCTGAAAAAAAACCCTATCCTTAAATCTTGCATGGTCATGTTAAGTGAATGGTTGATGATATAGTCAAAACATATCAATAAAATTCATTATATGATATAATTCAATCACTTGACAATTAAGTGAAGGCTAAAAAGTTTAACTCAAAATATATTTAAAAAAACTAAGTAGAAGTACACCACGATTTCTAAACAAAATAAAACTATTGTTGAAGAGACACAGCTGTAAAATAGAGCAACACATGCATATCTAAAACAATTATTGACGGTGCGTTGTGATCAATTGATCAAATTAATTGTCAAACGAGAGCAGGCGGGAGTGACGAACTGAATTTGATAATGCAATGCATCATACCAATGTGCCTGAAAAACAAAGATTTCCATCAGTGCCTCGTGCCAACTGCGGACTGAAACTCATTCCGCTGAACCGTTTTGTGTCAGAAACGTGGGCACTGGAAAACAAGACGGAAAGGCGGAAATCTGCTTCAAGAAGCGTAGAGAGTTACATCTGCTTGGAATCACACCGAGAAACTGCAGTAAGAATACGTGGATTATGCATGAAACACAAACCAGACATGACATCGGCTGCTGAGGAAAGTGACTTTGGATCGGACGATAACCAATGGACGAGATTGAATGGTGGGAAAAAGACAGAGCCGGCCCAGGAGGATGACTGCTGTGGAGATGGAGCAATGAAAGGAAATCGTATGCAGAACTTAGATGGGGTGTAGCATTCCAGGACTGTAAAGTTTGGCAAGAGCATGGACATATCTTCATCCAGCAGTGAATGGAACAAGGCTGGTGATATTAGCATTTATCACGTGTGTCCCAAACGCAGTGTGGTGACAATATGTGACTGTAATAAAAAAGGATATTAATTTTACACGGAAGTGTACCGTGAGTTTTCAACTATGTAACAATGCAGTACTGTAATTCAAAATTAAAACCTTCGAACCTATTTCAATTGACCTCTTCGCGTATCCTACCTTATAATCTGTGGTGGATTAGAAATAGGCTGAGATGGCACAGGAACCTCAGTGTTCAACATGAAGGTATGGCAGGGGACCAAGGAAATGGCAAGGGACAGAACCAACAATTTTGCGTATTACTCTGCCCGGACCAGATGCATTTAAATACAGGGAAGTGGGTGGGGGGGGAGAGATAAACTTGTCATTTTTTGAAGCCTTTTTCCAGCAATTACCTGTCAGCTTTCAAATATCTATGGTTGAGAAGCAAAGTCCAAAATCCGTTGGTTGTGAGGGCCTGAAAGAAGCCTGCTCCTGGGCTGGTGATGACTTGTCAGTCACTCAAAAGTCTTCTGTGCTTGAACAATGGCAAATCGTGGCGCTTTGTCCTTCTTATCTCAAGCAATATACGAATTGGATACCCATTGCACATTACGCAGAACTTATTTGGTTCACAAATTGTTCCTAGTTGCAAGCAATTTGCATGCTAATCTCATGTTGCACGCCACAAATATGTTTGAAAGAAAATCATCGCTTGCTGGAAAAAAATGTACAGCATATTTTATGTTGTGCACAAATTGCACGCTGTGTGCAGCCTGTGAAAGTCAGACGTTTCCATGCAAATCATATGTTACACACTAATCCCAAGGCAAATCACATGTTGCATGGAAGCTTTACAGAAATTGAAATGGCAAACCGTCTGCAAGTTTTAACGCAAATTGCACGTAGCTTTAGCAAATTGGCTGTAAAATTTCCATGCGCACAAATTTTAGAATGCACAAGTGGCACACATTGCGATGCAAACGTTTACAATATTGGGGTGCGATTCCCATCTTGCAGTTAAGTATGCATGCATGATCAACTTCTTATGTGCCATAAGTAAAGCTGTTTAATGCAGGGATTACTACTCAATGGCATGTTTTACCAGGAGTTCACACAAAAAACGAACGTTCAGACTTCCATGTGATTGCAGATCGCCAGTCAGGTGAAGCTCCCGGCATGGCTGTTAAAGTGGGCATAACCCAGTGCTTCTTAACCTGGGGTGCACGCACATACTGGAGGTGCGAGATGCCCTTTCTGGGGGTGCGAGACATAGCCAATTTTTTTCAGAAGGTAAATCATCGAAATACAAATTAAGCATGGGCACCTAATTACAACTACTTTGTTTAATCAAACCTATGCATTTATTAACGTAACTATATATATTTTACGATTGAGAACCAAAGGGGTGCAAGGCTGCAGTAAAGGTTAAGAATCACTGGCATAAAGAATGCGATGTGTGGGCATGCAGAGAAGGGAGTTTGCATACCTGGCAGATTCTCAAACCTGCCGGCGAAGCCTTGGTGGGTCTCACAAGCGCCATGGGGCAACACACGAGGAAAAGCCACCGTTATAGCTGCGTCTTTGACTCGCACTCAATCCTCCTTCCTGGCCGCCGTGCCTCGCCCACAGTGTGTGTGTGTCATTGCGACCACTTGTAGCAGCTGTCAAGATGGTTCCGCAGCATCGACAATCGTGCCAGCAGCAGTAGAAGGGCACAGAGTGAGATGCCACTGCACGCTCGGCTTTGCAGGGCAATGTTATTTTAAAATTATTATTTCAAATTCTGCATGGTATCGCGTCAAACAACCAATTTTGAAACCTTAGCTGTCACTCGCAGGGTCATCACTGATATGAATAGCTGGAAATGGGAAGATAATATTGGGGTAACTCATAAATCGCTCCCCCCTCCGCCCCACCGCAGCCCTGCCTTAGTCGATCTGAACCATACCAACTGGGCATTGACTAATACATGAAAACATATTTTGCCTGTTTCAACACGTTCATTTACAATAATAATAAAGCAATGTTTTATATATTTTTGTGATGTAACCTCTCGCACAATTGTATGCATGATCCAGAGCGTGGCGTGACAGACTTGTAAATCACACACATCGATTTAAACATACTGTATATATATAGTACCACCCTCCGCAACACGTGTCCCTGGCAGTCGGGTTCAACTCTGGACTCCCTGCCACGGGGCACATCTCCACCACGTGCCGATGTCAACAACAACACCGCGTCATCGGGGTTGGGTGTGAGGCCCGTCCACAATAACTGACTGGGCTGTTGCTAGAGCAGTGCAAATGTGCATCGCTGGGCCACTGTTGAATCACGCATGGGAATGTTTAATTCATTTATCGTGTGTGTATTTCCTCCACCCCCGTTCTGCTCAGCCATTGCTAACGCGTTGTGCGGCGAATTGCGGCATCGCGCGCAGACTGAGAAAGCAAACTGCAGGCGAAATTGTGTCACGAAGAGCGCGTTTGGTGCAAAAATCAGTTATACTGGTAGGAACCACCTGGTTCCACCAGCCCACAGGGGATAATTGTGTCCGTCCGTCCGTCGTGCATCCAAAAATGGGAGGGATGGGGCTGGGTGGAGAGGGGAGGGTGGGGAGGGGCTGGGTGGGGACTGGCTGGGTGGGGAGGGGAGGGTGGGGAGGGGCTGGTCACCCCGTGATGCCCTTATAAAGCT